TTGATCCCAGCAGCAAACACTCTAGTTCCAGTCATCTCTACAAAGCCCCACTGATGACTGCATGAAGCTTTGGGAGGGTATCTAGATACAAACCATACCAGTCTAGTATGATGTAGATGCTTACTAAGTTTAATTTGGTATATAGTGCTGTTTCCGTCTTCTATTTTTTGTATTGCTTTTTGCTAATCAGTGTAATTATTTTACCCATTATTTAAAGTTGGATATTGAAGTCTCCAACTATTTATTATTAAATTGTCTGTAGTTCCTTTATATCTATCAGTTACATTTCTCACTTCCTCATTCTTTCTTAAGATATCACATATCACAGGTGATGGTCACCATGTCTGTGGCATCTAATGGGAAAATGGCACAAGGTGAAAGGCCCCCACTAGCAATGTCGTAGTGTCTCAGCAGATAGGAACTACTTACTGAAGATTATTGCTCTGAAACCTCTATGACCTAATACAATGGTCTAATTTCTGATGATCAAATAGTAGTCAAGAATTGTGGTTGCAAGAAGAGGAAAGAAAAGAAAGTTTTCTTAGTTTACTAGAAGCTAAACAAGAAATTCTATTTGTGAACTGGAGAGCCAAGGAGACATTCATTGCTTATGCATGATGTGTTGAAGCAACAAAACTAGAGAACAAGAAATAGTTACAAAACAGTGTAACTTATTTTTTAAGAGAAAGAATTGGGTAATCCACAAAAGATTTTTTTTTGCTTCTGTCAAACTTATAGATCTTCTAGTCACTACTGCTATACTTAGGTCCTCAGGAGATGCAATAATAAGAAACACCTTTCGTCAAATGCATTCTTTAATCCTCACCGGAATTTGTATCCTGAATAATTTTAAGCTTTTTTTCCCCAGATGAAATAGGCATAAAAACTTCTTTTACAACAGTTCCTTGAAGTTACCTTAAGAGTCAGGTCTGAGCATACCAGGATTCTGGCCATCTCAGTTAACTATATTCAGCCATCCTCTGAAACAAAATCATCAAAGCTTTATCAAAAGAGAAGAAAAATGCAGGATGTAATGCCAGACGTCTGTAATTCTTTGATTCCAGCTATAAAACATTCCATTGACTTGATTTGAGGCAAAGAGTGAGTTCAGGGCATTTCTCCCTGTGTCCTCTGAACATAGCATATGCCTTCATATGTGACACAATTTTAATTTTTGCTTCAGGCATTTGAAACAGGGGTGCTGGTGAAGATTGCTTGGTCACTAGCTTGGCAAAGGGTCTTCTGCAAAAATACTGTGGATTTTATAAACTTGTTTTTATTATGCTAGTGTTTAATATTAGAATCACTGAGTAGTCATGCTTAATGGATTTTAATTTCTTGGTAATAAATTATTTAAGGAAAAAGTGCAATAGAACATAACACTTACGCTTTTAATTAGAAGTTAGTGTGAAGTAAGGTTGTATGTAAATAAGGAAATCCTATTTAAGGTGAGCAAATTAGAGGAAGATATTACACATGTGTGCCCAGCCCATTAGGAGATGTTAAGACAGAACTGAATGCTGAGGGGTCTATGCAGCCACAAAAGATAGAGTAAACAATTTTTGGAGAGGCAAAAGAAAAATTTTACTTTCTTATAAATTACCTACATCTATCTTTGCTCCGTTGACATCAAACCAAGCATTAACATTTTCTGGATCTCAAAATATATAAAAGTCAAAATGTTATATTAGCTAATTCATTTTTAACACCATTTATTATTTGGGGACACTCTCTCAGATTTCACCATCCACAAAATCAAGTAATGGTAGACATTTACCACTTATAATGACCCCAGTGAGCATTTGATGTTCTCCTCACGCTGCTCCCAGGGTTTCTCTGATTAGTCCTGGAGAATGCAGGGGTTCTACGGAACATTCACTTTGAGCTACTCGGAGGGCTTTCTGGTCTGAGAAATGAGTCATTAGAAAACTTAGAGTCATCAGAGACACTTTCAGTAGCCTGATAGTAGGAATAATTCTAGGAGGGAGTGTCTTTGCGCAGGGACTCTAATTGTCTTTAAAATCACAGTAAAGGTGATACTGCTCTCCGAGGGTAAAAAAAGTACCTAAAACTCTATTCTTGAAGGCCCAAACTCCCCTAGAACAGGTTGTCCCACGTCTTGTGGACAAGAATTGGAGACAAAGTTTCTGCACACTGCCCTCAGAGGCCTAATCTACATTAAGAGTTAAGGAGTTAGATTGCTGCAGGAGGTATGTGTTGAAATGCAGCATTGTTCACGTGTTGGAAGGAAAGAGGAGGGCAGGAAGAAAGGAGGGGACAATAACCTCACTTTGAAGCTTGCACTCATTTTTCCTTTTTTCAGTTTTATGAAAAAAAACAAAACAAAACAGAATTCATAACGAACTAAAAAACTAAACTTCAACATCTTTATCAAGTTAGAAACAAATTTGTTTTGGGAACCAAATCTTTGACAGCAAAATAGTATGTACCCTTTGAGTCACTCAGGTCAGTGCTTAGAGCATTAATAATAAGAAAAGGGAATTTTCCTACACCCCAATCACTGCGGTGCTTCCTTCCTGTTTCCCAGATTGAAGGCCCTTGGGATTATTTGTATACTAGATTTGGGTCAAGGATAGATTTTTCATTTGAGCTCTCTTCCACCTCCACTCCCAGGCTTATTTTGCCCTATCATTTCAAATTACATCCTCTTCTATTTATTATTTCAGGGGAAATAAAAAAGATGAAAAAGCAAAACTAATTCCTCTGGCTTCATTTTTAGCCCTTTCGCTTCTCCTTCTAAAGGAGAACTTCGATGGTCTTAAAACATCACACCCTTCTCTTTCTTAACTGCTAACCTTCCTCCTAGAATAACACTGGAGGACCCACTACAACATGGATCCATCAAGGGTCTTTCCCTGAGATTTAGAGTGAGAACCACACGGGGCTCTGAAGAATGAGCATTTGTATTGTCATAGTCACTGTGGCAGTAAAAAATTGTTTTAGAAATTAAAACAGCAACTTGGGGTTGATATACATATATATATTATTTTTTCTTTTTCCTCTCACAGTCCTAAGCAAATTAAAAGGTTTTTCTGAGACCTCAAAATGCCACAACTCAATTCAGGCTTCTGGAATAGACTGCAGTTTTCTTTCTGCTATGCCTTGACTGCTACAGTTTATTATTTTTATGTTTGATTTATTTTCCTTAAAGGCTGTGGTTAAGGGAATTTCCTCACCATCTTGTATGAAGTTAGTCTGAGTCAAGCAGGGGAATGAAGTCTTGGAAAAGAGAGAGAGAGCGAGAGAGCTATATATTACAGATTTCTTTGCAATAAAGAGCCAATCAGTAACATACAGTTATTTCATTAAATATAAATTCAATTTAAAGGTCTACAGGGGCTCTCTTAAAAAAAGTTCTGTGTGTTATTGGATTAGCAAAAAGTGCTCATGCAAAGATGAAGTGTCTTTGTATATTCAGTTTCTTTGATCTTATCCTTGTTTGTCAGATACTATACATAAATGAAAAACTTACAGTATGGCTTGCACAAAGTGGAGTATAACAAATGGTGATGATGAAAAAAAAGAGTTTGGCAATGCTGCATATACAGATTTTTCTTCATTCCTAAAATTCACTTTCTTCGCTTCTCAAGAATCCTCATTTTTCCAGAGAGGAAGAATCAATACGTATTTCCCCCCAATTTTGTATGTATGTATCACTTTCTTGACTTTCTCGCCTTTCTCGCCAATGCTGGATACTATCAGTCTAATTTTTCCACTGTAATTTGGTGAAATAAAATCTCTCATTTTAATTTGCAGTAATAATGAGTTTAAGTCTACTTATAATACTAATGATTTCCCACACTTACTGAATGCCTATATGGCAGTTGTTTGCTAAATTCTTTTTGTGGTTTTCTCCTTTATGCTGGCAGTCTCTCCGTGAGGTATGCTATCTAATTGTTCTCACTTCACAAATGAAACTAGAGGGATCAGTCACTGGTTTAAGGTTAAACTGCTGGAATGTGGCAATTTGGATTTGAACTTAGTAGTGTGAGTCCATAGCTCCATATTCTTAAGAGCTATGAGCTATGCTACTTTTTTGTGTGTTTCTTGTCATTTCAACTTCCTTATTGTTTTATTTTCACACCAACTGGATGAAATTTTATTACCTAGGTTGGGGTAATGACTCTTGATTGTATTTTTAATGCCTTGGACATGTGGCCGAGAAAAAGGCCAAACTTATCAACATGAAATTAGTTTAATAATTTTAGAAACTTTCAGGTTTAAGAAATTATTAGTAGTAAACTGTTAGGAACTATTTCATACATTTTATTTTTTGATAATGGAGGAACTTCTTGGTCTTCTTTCTCAGTAGCTTTAATATAACAATTTAGGAGCCATTTATAAGACTTTTAAAAAGGAATATTTAGTAGTTAGATCAACTTAAGATATTTTTAAGTACTTAAAAATGATTTAATTTTTTCCAAGATGTAGTTGCTGAGAATAATTTAATCTGAGAATATTACATAATTTTGACTGGCAGGAAACATTTGTACTAAGTTAAAAATTACTGAGAGACTTCCAAGCAAAACTGTCAATGCCGAGATGTTGACTTCCTTTTTCCTGTTAACATAGTAAAGGTCATTGGTTCCAGTTAATATGGTCTGGCTTGTTTTACAGAAATGAATGCTGCAAACCAACCCTTGTCCTCACTTTATTCTTACTTTTTGGGATTGAGGTGCTTATTAGTTAAGGAACTATTTGACTTTCAGTTATTTCATTGCTTATTTTTAAAAGGAATTCAGAAAACGTCTCTATTTTTTACTTTCAGTAATATAAACTAGCCATAATAAACACACACACACACACACACACACACACACACACACATGCTTGTGTTTGAAGGCAAATGAACATTTCAAATGTTAGTTGTTTGAGTGTAGAATTATGAAACAACAGAACTATGCAATTAAGACAGGAAGTAGGAGGAGACCCCTGCTAAAGTAGTGTCTAATCAAGAATATTACTTTGCAAATGCTTACCTAACATCACTGTGATGATGTTCATAGCGTCTCCACCATGAATATGGGGGCAGGGACGCCAGGGTATTTGCTTGGCTGACATTGGCCAGAGCAGCAGATGGATCTCCCCTGACAGAATAATCACCTCGCGACAGTCCTCTGGGCTCGGCCTTCTGTGTTCCTTCTGCCTTCTCCTCCCTGGGGAATTCTTTTCCCAATATCCTCTCTTTCCTCTTGCATTTTCACAATTGTCTCATCTATCTCTCATTTTCTAACTGCTTTTTAACAGGTTCTGTGGAAACAGGAAGGGAAAGTTTGCAGAGAGATGAGGGGAGGGTAAACCTAAGCTGCTGAGACAGCTGCTTCCTTTTCTATCCTTATTTTCTCTCAGCCATATGAAAGTCTCCGAGTATCAGAATATTTCCCCATTACAACTCTACAACTCTCCCCTTTCCCGGCTTAGCTTCCTACCTAAGTACTCTGCTTATGCTATTTTTGTTTTGATTTCTTTTGTCTCATTTTGTTTTTTACTTTTAGTTTTTAATTTCACTTTAAAATTAGTGCACAGACTGCATTCCCTACCATGGTCCACCTCCTTTCACATCTAAAGCCTACTTTATTTTGTTCTAACAGTGTGCTGAATGCTGATGCAGTTTCCTATAAGGGGGGGAATCACACACACATGTGTGTGTGTGTGTGTGTGTGTGTGAGAGAGAGAGAGAGAGAGAGAGATTCTTTTGAAAAATCAACAAGGTAGAGCAGTACAAATTCTGACACACATATCCTTTACCTTTGTGATTTTTTTCTAGCAAAAATAGTTAACTGCACAAAATCCCATTTGTTGAATGTTGTAATTTAATTTATTCATGCAGTTTAAAAGGGAAAATAATATTTGTTAGTTAAGTTTTCAAATGTATACTTTTAAAATATACTATCAATAATTTTAATATAATAAAAATATTGCTAGAATTTCACACCTTAACTCATTCCTATTTTATCTGACATTGTAATTTATTTTCTTTTTATTTCTGGCTAGTTAGCTCTCAGTTTTAAAAAGAAGGAAATTCTATCATCTCTAACGGCATCAGTAAACCAAGAAGGCATTATACTAAATAAAATAATCCAGACATAGACAAATATAGCATCATCTATATCTACAACCTAAAGAAATTGAATTCATAGAAAAATAACAAAATGATGGTTACTAGAGTATGGGAGATAGAGAGCAGAATGGGAGATTTTGGTCAAAGAGACAAACTTCCAATAAATAAGGTTTGGAGATCTAATATATGACATGGAATTATAGTTAATAATGTTCTGCACTTGAAATTTGTTAAGAATATCTTTTAAGTGATAACTATGTGATGATAAATATGTTAATTAGCATGATTGTGGTCATCATCTTATACTGTATACACATATTAAGGCATTGCATTGCATAATTTACATATATGCAATTTTTATTTGTCATCTCTACCTCAATAAAGTGGCTAAAAATAATCCAATCATTGGAACTGATAACAGGAATTAGTAACAACTGGGACCAGCTTTGAATTGTGACGTGATAAAGCCACAAACTCAGTCTGAGGTTGGCTGTTCAAATAAAGAAGTTAATTAGCACTTATTTACATTCTTCCACATCAACTGTGAACAAACTTGGCTATTTCCATCTTTAAGCTCAGTAACATTAAACAGCCCGCAAAACAAAGTAAAGGAGAAGAAACATAAAATTTGTGGGCAGAGAATATTCTTGAAAATTGGTACCCTCCACTGGCATCTTGAGCAATTTGAAAGCAATATTTTAACTGGGAAAAAATCAACTAGACATCCATTAAAGAGCTGTTTCAGAGTATCATATCATTAAAGGTTATGAATTGCTGATTTTTCTTTACCACAGTGGTAAATGTGAAGGACAAATTGGAGTTCAATGATGTGGTTGAATTGTAAAACTTGCTCTGAAATTTCTCTCTAGCTTACAAATGCTCTTAACAGTACCTTCTGAGATTTCAGAGCCTCTCATGCTAAGGGCAGAAAAGGAAACTAAGTCTAGGAAGGACAGGAACAGGTCAAATGGACCATGCTTTAATACGGTGGGTCTTGAAGTGCTTTTGGGTTACAGATCTCCAGAGACTTTGATGAAAATGTGCATGCTGATGTGTATGTTCTAAACCATCCAAACACAACATTAAGACTGGGGATGTAGAGGTTGCCTAACACCCATTCATGGGTCATTCAAAGTTCTGTAGACTTGGAGATAACATTTACTTTAGGGTTTGGCTTCAAGATGCATTCTGATGCCCAGTACATATTTTAGCTCCATGCTGGTTCAGGCCGAAAGACAGCAGATGTCAGCAGGAAAATGCAGGCAGTGCTGAGATGCATAACAGGTGTCATAAATTCTCCAGACCATCTCATTATTCCTAGTCAGACTCCAGACTGAAGCCAATAGTAGAGGAAGCCAATAGTAGAGGACTTCATCTCTCCCTAAGTAAGCAGTTTCAAATAGTTAACCAGGTTTAAAATCCTTATTAATCATGACAGCTGTGATAGCAGACTAAACTACTAAGCAAGAAACTGAGGCAAACTTAACTTGAGCTAACCCAGTAGGAATTTGGAGAGTAAATTCTATTTAGGGGGTAGGGGTGGTTGGAACTTATACTTACCAGACACTACTTTTGACAGCAACCTTTACTAGAATCATGCATTTTTTCGAGACCCTGGTTATAATTGTCTTGGTAATTTCTGAACTCAAACCTTTAGGATAAAGTTTCAGAGATTGTAGTTGAATATGGCTAAGGCTGTGAGGAAGAGTTGGTGCTTATGTATTTTATTTTTGGACATGAACTTGGACTTAACAATATAGAAGCTATATGGGTGGCATTCATGCTTATGTAAAGCTACTTCATACTGAAATAGTATCTTAAGCACTGTTATTCTTGGGTGAAGGGCAGAGCAGAGCTCTTTAGGTTGTGCTGTCTTCTTGCACATCCTGTGTCACCCTAATTCTTAGCATGGTCTTATTTTTTTCTTGTGTACATTAATGACTGAGGCTGTGCTTCAAGGAGGGCACTTTTTGTGGTATTTTTTTCTTTCTCTTAACGGCTTGCATCATCAGATTCTCCCCTCTGAGCACAAGCTGACTCAGTGTGTCATCTGACATATCCACACCTGCCACATTTGAGCCCTGCTCTCTCATGCACAAAAGTCCAAGCAGCATGCTGTTTAAATGGAGTCATGCTGACAGCTTCCTGTTCATTCAAATAACATCTGTGAGATTTGCATGGATTAACATTCAGATGACAGAAATCTACTTTTTATTCGAATAAAGAGATAAGGACTGGCTCATTTAACCATGGGCAGGAACTGGAGAAGATCATCTCCTCATTGGAATGAATCAGTGTCTATTATTTTACCAAGGATTTGTCATCTAGCCTGCCACTGCATTTAGGCCAAAGTCCTGCTATCTATATAAATAAAACACAGATATGTAAATAATTGTTTCTTATTACTGGAAGATAGTGCTCAACTAATGAAAAACTTCATCAAGTGCCCCCTTTTGTTCATTGCAGTTTTGGAATCTTAAAATATGGTCAGATTCATTCCTACAGGTGCTTCACATTTTAGAGAAATGGAAATAAGAGGTGTAGAAGAAGTGTAACTTCTGTCATTGTAGAAGCTAGAATGATAATCATCTTTCAGGGTTTGGTTTTAGAATCTAGCTTGAGAGGGACTGAGGGGAATGGTGGGAGGAGATGATGGGGGTCAGATTCAGAGCACAGGGGTGTCTATAAATTTATTTTTCACCAATTTATGCCCATGTCTCCATGTAGAAGTAGGAACATGTGGCAGGGAGCTGCCTGTTTCCAAGTGTAGACCTCAGGACGGTTTATTGAGGACCAGCCATGAAGAAGGTGGAGTGATATACATTTACCATTTGTGGTGCAAAGTCTGCATAGTCTTAGTGTGGTATGGATTTTTTATTGTTTTAAATGTTAAATCATAAATTTGAACCTTGACATAATCCTAAAGTTCTTGAACTCCATATTTCAAGCCATCCCTACAAAAAAAAATTGTGAGGTAGAGAAAAATAGTGTTAGATGACTTCCTGGTTTTTAGTTTCTATGTCCAATACCCTCTCCTCCTCATACAATCTGAGCTCAGCTCACCTTTCTTTATTATTCCCATCAAAATCCATAGCTTATTTTTTTTAATGCCAAGATGGTATTCACATCAGATTGAAAAAAAATAACTGATTCCTGACTTTTGCTTCCAGCTAAGGTGAAGTATGAGAGACTAGATTTACTATTTTGTCTGAAATAAACAAAAAATGGACAAAATATATATGAACTAATGGTCTTTAAGGCATCAGAAGATGAAGGAAAACTATCTCTGAGAAACCAGAGACAATGAGGTGAGCCCAACAATTGTCACAACTTACTTTCTGGAGAAAGTGTCCAGGCTGTGGCAGTCCTGGCAGACTCCCTGTATGGGAGAGTGAGGAGGATCTCGTTGCCTCTATGACTAATGACCGTGGATGCTGTAGAAATGTAGTGGACAGCTGCTGATGGGATTCTCCTAAATAATAACGAAGTTTTGCAGCTGAATTATGCACATGTCACTGATGAGAACACATTGATAGATGCTGTCTTCTGAGAATCCTAGCAAGATGTAGAGAATCTTTGAGATCTATACTTCAGTGACACTGGGACACTAAGCACAGAACAATTCCTATAAATCTGAGAAGCATACACAGAGAAGATGATATTTTGACAGTCATGGTTTGACCAGGCTGACAGCCTCAAGGGAAATTCTCTTTGTTCAAGATGTGGTAAAAAATCATGACCTTGAAGGGTCCTTTGCTCGTAATACATTCTGAACTCTTAAATTTTAATTTTATGCTGCTGTCACCTTTTTGTGAATAGGTGTCTTTAAATAAAGAAACATATGGTTCCAATGTGGCTTCATGAACTGAAAGTCACATCCCTGTGGATGAAATGGCACTTCAGGCGAGGAGCAGGCTGCCAATCTCAGAGCGTTTTAATCCTTAATTGTAAGTGAACACCTTTGCCTCTTGGTGATGAATAAAGAGAGAGAAATTCTTCCTGTTTAATGATGATGTTAATTATGAAAGAAAAAAAGCTCAGTTACACTAGAAAAACAAATCTTTAATTTCACAGAATAAGACTATCTTGCTTTATACTTAGCATAGATAGAAATCAATACTTATGTATTAGCAGATGGGTGACACATTCAACAAAATTAATTTTATAAATGCTTGCTTTGCTGAATAAAGCTGCCAATAACT